TATACCTAGGAATGGAATTGTGGGATCAAATGGAAGATTGACTGTCAGTTATTTGATAATTCTCCATACCTCTTTCCAAGAAGGTTGTCTTCGTTTGTAGTCCCACCAACAGTGCGAAAGTGTTGCTTTCTCTCCACTTCCATGCCAGCACCTGCAGATCTGGGACTTTGTGATGTGGGCTAATCTCACTGGAGTTAGGTGATATCTCAGGGTGGTTTGGGTTTGCATTTCTCTGATGAAAGGCAATGAGCATTTTTTCATGTGTTTGTTGGTTATTCATCTGCAATGGCCGTTTTCATGGCTCCTAATAAAGAGATGTTTCTCTTTATTAAGAGAACAAAGCATGGGAAGGCGGTTAAAGATCATATCTGAGCTTATCACTGGGCTGCTCATCTATGTGCCCCAGCTTGTCCCTATCAGTGCTGGTTATCTCAGCAGTAAAGCATTCAGTCTCTGGGAGCAGGTTTCTCCCTACATCCGGTAGAGACAAATACCTTGTTACCAGTGCTAAAATGCATAGAGTAAAGTGAGCATGGCTCTGCTCCCTGTCACCAGCTATAAGCAGCTCTTCACATCTCCACTGAGTGTGTCCCCATACAGATCATACTGAGGAAGGGGAATATTTGTGGCCACACATTTCCGAGAAGCAGCAGTTCTAACAGACCAGTGACCCAGCTATTCATCCCGGTTTCTTCCTGCCGAGACCTTTTGTTTTCCCAGCTCCTTCACCATGTGCTAACAATTAGATAATGACTCCATCAGTGTGGAGAAAAGGCAGTGTCACAGAGGGTGGGTGGTTTGTTTTCTTGGTTCCGCATTGGAAACATATGGAGATGTTTATATATAAATAGAAAACAATCCAATGCTGCCATCGCGTTAGCAGCAGCTAATAAAATTCTATGTGCATGGAAATCAAACATTTCTCTACCTATGCCAGAATTCTGGTTCACTGATACCTGTACATCCTGTCTTAATTTGGCTTGAAAAATGTTTTACTGTTTTAGGCTTTTTATTGCTGGTTGAGAGGAAACTGTAGAGCAAGAGGGGTTTTGTTGTTGTTGTTGTTGTTGTTTGTTTTTTGGTTGTTTCTTTCGGTTTTGGTTTTTTACATTCCTCTCTTTGCTTAATTAAATTACTTCATTAGCAAGAACAATAAATTCCATCCAAGGATAGCTTGTGTTCTGAACACGAATAAATGTTTAAAAATCCATATGTTTAACTATAATCTCTGAAATTATAGAGATTATGTTTCTGAATTAGATGTGAGGATTTGTGGTCTAGCCTAGAGAAGTAATTTTCCGGAGACAGAGCGGTAGAAAGGTTGAGAGCACACACTCAGGCAGACAGAGCTCTGAGTTTGAATTCTGGCTGCACCACTACCTGGGTAGATAACCTTGAGAAAGCTGGTTAGCCTGACTCAACCTCAGTTACTTCATCTGTGAAATGAGAACTATAACAGCACTTATAGAATGTGCACTTTACATGAAATGAGCTATAAAATGTTTCACATCGTGTCTGGCTTATAGGAAGCATCACAAAAGCGCTGCCTATCATCACTATAAACGGCTAACAGAAGGGTTAGCTTGGGACCATCCTGGAATATCTGAGAGGTAGAGATGCCCAGTGCTAAGAGCAGAAATAACGATAAGCAGCAGAAATGCTGCTGTCAAGTGCTATTTAGGCCCTAGGCTGTAAAAGGCACTGCTTCCTACAACCTCATGAGCTGGGTGCCATTATCATTCCCAGCTCCTGAAAGAAGACACTGAGAGGCTCCATGGACTGCCTGAAGTCACACAGCTAAAGATCAGTTGATATGAGGAGCCAACCCAGGCCCATACAAGGGTTTGAATAATAATTTAAATATTCAATAGTTACAAGGCCCATGCTCCATCTCTCTGCTGAAGTGGTCGCCATGTAACTGCCTACATACATAGCCTACAGCACATTTGCAAGCTTTATTTACATATTTGCTGTGTTCCTATCAACATCCTGTGACACGCGCGGTAGCATTCATGTACTGTGAAGTCCCCTGGCCCTAGGACATCTGTTCATTTGCAGTTAAAATGTGCCCAGGAAGCACTTAAAGGAAATGTTGTAAGAAACCCTGGTAAGTTCAATCCATGCAATTTGGTCTACAAAGGCCTTTTCGTTAAAGGTGGTTGAAGCTCCATATGCACAGGCTCATTATTTAAGCTTTTGTCCCATCCTGCAGATGGAGGAGCCAAGGGCCGAGGTGACATAGGGACAGAGGGAGAGACCAGCCTCCCACCTCCTTGGTAGCATACGTGTCAGTCTCTGAGTCAGGAGTGGAACAGAGTGGGTCCAGGGCTATGTCCACCTCACCAGGCTGCTCATTAGTGTTGAGTCTGACAGCCAAACTGCTAACTAGCTCCACTTTTAACCTAAATATCCATAATTAGGAGCGCTTCGCCTGATATTCTTGTGCAAAGAATGGGGTCTGCCTGCAATCTGGGAATCCTCACATATAAGATTGTCCAATTCTGTTTTCACTTTTAAAATATATTTTGAATTTTCTCTTCTTCTTTTTGTAGGGAAGGGAAAGTGTATGAGGTGAGGGGTATGGCAGGGCATTCAAGGGAAGACCACATTATATGTCAACCTGCTGATCTAGCACCAATGTACTAGTTAAATGAGCCCTGAATGTAAGACATTAATGCAAATATTTTGCATATTATTAACTCTAATGATGCTACTATAACGCAGTAGCCACAGCTGAAAGCTGAGGTGGCACTTTTTATTATAAATGCCTGAGGTCTTTCAGTGAAAATCACCATGAAGACAGAAATTCTTTAGAAGTGAGAGCGGAAATATGAGCAGACTTCTGCTTTGTTAACCTTCTCGCCAGTAATAACAACAACCCAAAAAGCACTGGTATCCCAGGGCCCTGCATTCAGCGGGCAACGTCCTCTGTTATAAACCTGCCACTGTTCTTGCTTTTGTAGCAGGAGTGCACGCCATGGCAAATATTAGGAAATCTTTGTAAGTGAAATCTGTTTTAGGAAAAAATACTTATGCAATCCTCAAAATTGTTATGTAAGTGAAAAAAATCATTCTAATGCAGAGCGAGTATTACTTACTAGTCACATGCTAGTGATGGCAATTTAGAGTTTTAGAAAGTATAGCATTTCAGAACCAGCACTACCATTTGCCACCTGTGTGGCTTTGAGCAAATCATTTGACCTCTCTGATCCTCAGATCCTTTCCTATAAAGTAGCATCAACAATAAAGCTGTTTTGGCTGGGCATGGTGATTCATGCCTGTAATCCTAGCACTCTAGGAGACTGAGGCAGGTGGATAGCTTGAGTTCATGAGACTAACCTGAGGGGAAAAAAAAGACACCATCTATACTAGAAATAGAAAAACTGAGGCAAGAGAATTGCTTGAGCCCAAAGAGTTGGAGGGTCCTGTGAGCTATGATGCCACGGCAGTCTATCCAGGGCAACAGTTTGAGACTCTGTCTCAAAAAAAAGAAAAAAAAAACCAATAAAGCTGTTTTGTCTGTTTTATGGGTTGTTGAAGAACACCAAAGATTATTGCAAATATGAAAGCTCTCTGTTACAAATATGAAAGGTCTCTGGGAGTACTGTACAAATGTTACTATTAATTTTTACAAGGGGAATGATGAGAAATGAGGAGCAGTGCCGTCCAAGCATAGCTTGGGAATAACTCGGCCAAAGTGGTGGTCAAGGTCTTGCAGAAGTGGATAGATTCTGAGAGACAGACGGCCTGGCTAGTTTGAGGGCCTTAAACTTGTAAGTTGTAGGGCTGGGTAGCAATGTAACTATGCAACCTGTCGAGAGCCTTTTATTTTCAAAGCTCTTGCAGTGACAATATTGGCTACACGAAATCACCGCATGCATTCTTACCCGACTTTATTTGGAAAGAGTTTACAAACTAGTAGCCTGCCAGAGTTGCCTGAGATTAGAGTGCTGTGCTTTTACACCAGGGAGTGCCGTGTTTCATGTCTTCTTCTATTACCCCCTGCCCTGGGGATTCAACAGATGGAACAGCTACAAAATCAGAAACCCAAGACAAACCTGTCAGTTTGATGCCTTTAAGCTTTGGCAGAGCTCACAATTCCAGTAAGATAGAATATCTATTTAGAGGGAAGAAGCGCAAAGAAATAAGTTCACAGAGCATGCTTTTGTTGTTGTTGTTGTTGTTGTTTTTGGTCTGGGCATGGCTAACATTATCTGGAGATCTTTGCCACATAGGAGGAATTGTTTATTAGTACACAGTAGACACATCAGAAAATGGGCTGAAAGAATGTTATTGCTAGTAGAAATAATTGAACAACTTTAATAAGGGGCTTTACATTTCCCTTCATTATGTTTCTTGTCAGTGCCCGCTGTGGGCACCCCGTCGCTGTGCAAATAAAATAGCCAGGACCACGGATTGAAGGTACAAATGCCTGCAAGAGGTGCACCTCCCATATCTCCAGGGAGAGCCCTGAGCAACCGCTCCCGTGGCCTTTTATGCAACCATTATACAACAGGTGTGGGGGCCTACGCACAAGAGCCATGTGTTTAATGATCACTACGTGCTCTTTCCCCATGAGCTCGACTCCGACCCTGCTGCACCACGAATGTCCAATGAGCTACCCATCTTACCTCATTATCTCATGCAGCTGCTTGAGGGCTTGTCTCTGGGCAGCCGAACATCTCCACGCCGGCTAGAAAATGTCTCGCTCCCAGGGCCTCCCTCAAGAACCAGTGGCCGCTTTCACAAGCTTGGTGCAGGGTCTCCTACAGTTTCTACTTCTTGAATCCTTGAGTTTGGCAAATCCCAAGCTGAGTAATTGTGCATCTCAGAACAGCTGGCTAGTATGTAGGCCAGACAGACCCTAAGTCAGGGAAAGCAACACGTATTTCAGCAACAACTTTAAGGAGGGATAGTATTTGGTTAGTGTGTTTTGATAGTTCTCAGAGAGAAAGCACAGAACAACAGACATGAACCAAACATTTTCCTCCTTTGTTTAGGTAAATATTTCCCAGTACAGCCTAGTGATGGAGTCTGATGCTGGAACCTACTTACCTACTGGGCTGCAGTTCACTGGCAGTGACAAGGCCAGGTCCATCATGGAAGAGGTCATGAGCCTGCTGCGGCCCCTTAATATCACGCAGGTCTTTACCAAAGGAGAAGGGGAAGACATTAACTTCTGGATCCAAGCCGGTGTGCCTGGTAAGATCAAAAGATGAAATTGCTGTTCCTTACACACTGCTACTATTTAAAATAAAATTCCTGTTCTAATATGGCACAACAGATACTGGTGGGCCAGTTAATCTGTGGAAACCTTAAGCTTTTGTCAACAAGGCTAATCTGATGATTTTCAAAATTGGGATACTAGTACCTATGTCTGTTTACCCATCTGTCTTTTGTTTCTGAATTATAAGCTTTTCACTCCCTGAGATTCTTATTTAGTGATTCTGGAACTGGGCCTAGAAATCTGTTGTTTTATTTTTCAATCACCAATCTCTGGTGATTGTAGCACAAGCGATCTCACAACCAAAATTTAAGAAATGGAGCAGAAGGTAATATGGCTATTAATATTCTTCTAGTTCTTGTCCTGTGATGGGGAATCTTCATGATCCAAATAATTCTCTATTCAACTACTGTGGCATCTGAAATTTTACCATTAGAAGTTTCTTCTTTGAGGTTGGATTACTTCTTAGTAATCATGTTTTTCCTTAATGCAAAGACTCCTGTGAAGAGGTTGAACATAAACTAACGCTAATCAGTGACTTACCATGTGAATATTCAGAAGAAAAATCCTAAGCCCCTGGGGACAGGGATGAAATTATGAAATGGGAGAAGGCGTTGGGAGCTTCCAGGACAGATGCTAGAACAGTCTTAAAGACAAAGTTAAACTACTTCACAAAGTTGCCTAAGACTGGCCACAGAAAAGTGTTATTGATATTACAAATGTGTGACCCAAGGTTGTTCCTGCAATTATATCCATGATCAAAAACAAAAACAAGTTAAAGGATTTATCTGCAAATTGCTCTTTATTTGTGTCATATAGATAAGAAAGGTCAGCCTTTGAACAGCTTTAAGAACTATTTCTCCATTACAAAATGCATCATACATACAAAACAGTGTCTCTAGACACACTGTACTTCAGCTTTTTTTCTAGACTTCAAAATAGATTTTCCAACAGCATGTTACATGGATTTAAGATTTTTAAAATGCTTATTCCTGAGATATTATAGATTTTTTTTTGAGACAGAGTCTCACTGTGTTGCCCTTGATAGAGTGCTGTGGCATCACAGCTCACAACAACCTCAAACTCTTCAGCTTAAGGGATTCTCTTGCCTCAGCCTTCCACGTAGCTGGGACAGGCACCTGCCACAACGGCCACGTATTTTTTGTTGCAGTGGTAATTGTTGTTTAGCTGACCTGGGCAGGGTTCGAACCCGGCTCCCATGATGTATGTGGCTGGTGCCGTAACCACTGTGGTACGGGCACTGAGCCAAGATATAGATTTTTTTTTATTGAATCATCGCTGTGTACATTAATGCAGTCATGGGGTACAATGTGCTGGTTTTATATATAATTGAAATAGTTTCATCAAACTGGTTAACATAGCTTTCATGGCATTTTCTTAGTTATTATGTTAAGACATTTATATTCTACATTTAGTAAGTTTCACATGTACCCTTGTAAGATGCACAACATGTGTGGTTGAGATATTATAGATTTTAAGTCATGCTTTAAGTCTTAAAGTATATACTCTTTCATAACTACACTAGGAGTTTTTCTTTATTCTAATACAAAAACCCAAATTATCTTCATTTGTTCCGTGCATATTTTAACCATATTTTCAAATTCTTTTAAAGCAACATTTCTACTCATAATGCTGTACATCTCCTGGATAGCCCCAAGTCTCTTCATATGCATCATTGATAAACATGATCTAAGTACAGGGGAGAGAGTTTTCCCTTTACATTGTACAAAGAATTTATTTAATTTTTCCTGAGCCTTAAATTTTTCAACAGGAACTTCTTAAAATTTGAGAAACCCTAAGTAAGCTTTCAGGTAGCAGCTGTGAGGAAAAGACTGCTAGATTGGGGGGGAGTCAGAGAGGAACCTGGAGTACTCAAAGGGGAGGTGAGAAGGAGCTGAAACCTAACACAGAAGTGGGACAAAAAGCTTATACCTCCTACCCTCGGGTATTTCCTGCTCTTGTTGTGTTTGATGATTGACACTTGGCTCTAGCTTTATTCCTAGCTATGTGCATATCTCATAAGAATGGTGTTTAGTATGAGCAAATTGATTGATTCTTTTCACCTGAGGTAAGGGCACCTTTTTCCTCTTTGCTATACAATAAGGAGAGGTCATATTTGATTTCTACCAAACAGGCTGGAGTTGAGAAATTAGCCCCTTCTGTTTGCTTAAGAATTAATAAGAGTTACAACTCATTGAACTCCTGCTATTTATGAAGTAATCAGTTGAGCTTTTGTGGACATTATATTGTTTTATCTGTGCAACCATCCTGTGAAGTAGGTATGAGCATCCCTATTTTGAGATGAAGAAACAGACTCAGAAGGGTTAAATGATTTGCCCAGGATTATACTGCTCTGAGGGTAGAAGTCACCCTGACATGGGCCATTTTGGCTTCAAGGCTGGTGGCCCTTTTCCCACAATATGCAACAATGCAGGGAGCCTGGAATGCTGAGATGGTCTTCCAAATCTCTGGCAATGTCTGAGATGTTTATCTTACTCAGCTCTTGCTTATGCAAAGGATTTCAGTTCATTCCTGCTCCAGAATAATTTACCCCTGGGAGAAAGGAGTTTGTTATTGTATATAACTACTTATTTCTTCTCACATTCTTTGTTCCCCTCCCCCTTTACCTCTTTAGATCAGAAAGGTTTACATAAAGTCAGTAGATCGTTTAGACTACCATGAATGTTGCCGGAATTATTTCCTTTAGACTGTTGTAAGATGGAACTAAATTACTGCTGTTTTCACTTTATTACCTTTGAGCTATCTTTTGATATTTCAAATTTGTACTACTCCTAGAAGAAACATTGGAACTGGTTATGTTCAAACAGTGGTGGTCTGTTGAAAATTTCAAGAACTTTATAAATAGATGAATAACCATATTGACCTGAAAAAGAAAATAAAATATACCAGTTGTGTGGCAAATCATAATAACTTAAACCTAATACTAATTATTAGATTCCAAATACCAATTAAGTTATTATTAATAGCTGCTCCCCTAACTTTTGGAAAATTAGCAAGAAATAACATTTCCAAACTCCATCCATTCTTTGTTTTCTTTTTCTTTCTTCCATTGATTCAATAAACATCTATGGAGTTCTTGTCATAGTCTAGATCTATTAATACTATGAGGTAACCATCTGATGACTAAACCCCAATTTTTTAATATCAAATTTTTTAAAATTTGAATACCAAAATACTAATTAAGAATAAAGATAGAATTAAAAGTCGACATCATTTTCATTAATTATAGAAGGCAAATAGGTCAATTGATGAAATCACCATGTTTGGGAGAAGAGAGATGATATCCTTCACCCACCTGTATAATATCCATATTGGATAGGATGCCTATCAACATAAATATAAGGCTTTGGTGGGAAAATAAGTATCTTGGATGTCCTTTCCACATAAACCCTCTGCTGTAGTTCTTTATACTCCAGCCCCCTCCCATTTTGTCCTTCCATACTCCTATTCTTCCCATCCAAATCTTAGATGCCTTAAAGGCAGATTCTGTATTCGTTGGCATTCATGAATTCTCTCTTAGTCTGTGGTACTCTAATGCTTTTATAAGTTTCCAAAGCATTTTGATTCTTTATCCGACAAACAGACACTTGATTTATACCCCATGTATTATTCTTTTATTATTAGGTGCTTATGTGCATCCTGTCTCCTATACCCAGGGATTAGTTCTTTGAGGTTAGGGTCAGTGTTTTGTACTGCTTTGCCTCCTCCGTCACTCTTAGTTTAATTTGAGAAAACATTTAAATTCTTATGAATTTGATTTAAGAGAAGAAACAAAAACATTTAAGTAATCATTTTCTCAACAAGATTTTGAATCTCTCAGCTGAAGAGCATGGAGAAAATAAAGGGTGCTAAGAAAAGAGACAAAAAATATATGAAAGTATTAAAAGAAGGGTATTAAGAAGGCCAGAGCAATAGGATTATTTCTTATAAAGGAATAAAGATTACAAGAATATTTTGAATAATACCTTCTTGTACTTTAATGATTATCACACACAAACTGGTGAACAGTTATTCCCTGACAATTTCAAAAACAATGTAAGAAATGACTTAAAGATATCTAAAAGGGATTTACTTAGTCTCTTTCACTCCAGATAGCAGAGAAGTTTTAAGTTTTTGCCTAATTCTCCAAATACAAGCTCTAGGTTAGAATAAGAGTAGTCTGTTTCATTCTGTATAATATGTCACTTATGAAGTATAATTCAGGGACCTTAGATGTCTCTAAACGAACGCTTCTTGAACATCTGCTCTCTTTAGAAACTCCTCCATAATGTATACATTAATGGAAAAACTTAGATACCCTCTTATGCTGATCTGAGGGAATGAGCCCACTCTTATTCTGTATCTGTCAATAAGAATCTCCTCCTCTGCTTCAGAGTCTGAGAGTCAACATTTTTTTGATGTTGTTGGCTTGTGGTAGGCAGTGTGTTAAAAAAAAGTTAGAGGTCTTGAGTGTGTGTCCTTGCTTCACAACTTCTAATGATACAGCCAAATAATGTAATTGTGCTAGGCATCACTCATTTGTTATTAAGCATCCTTATTAATCAACTATTGTATGGCCCTGAAGAATTGGTAGTAAAATGATAAACAAGATGCATATATTCTCACATACTATAAACTAGTGACTGAGACTTGGTTATTTCATCTGCAAAGTGGGCAAGGTAGCCTTTTGTCATCATTTCTGCCAAGCCCCACATATGTTCCTCTTCCTTCTCTGTCCCTTAACTCATTGACTGGCTCCATGATCCAAAAACCTCAAAATTACTCAGGACATATAACTAAATGGTTGCCAAGTCTTGTTTACTTCAAATTCCTCCTATTTCTTAAATCCATTTCCTCCTCTCCACCCTATAGACACGGTCTCATCAGGACTTCTACAGCAGCCTCCTACTAATACCCTGACCTGCATTCTTAATCCCCTTCCATCTAGTTGGCTCAC